CCTCCATGTGCCAAGGGGTGCTGGAGGCAACAGCCCTTCAGGCAGCTCACCCTGGCTCCCTCTCCCCACTGCCTGCTTCGAAGGCAACACCCTGGAGAGCAGGGAGGAGAGACTGGGCTCTCCACCAAACCCTGAGGAGAGCAGGTCCCTCCAGCCCAGGACCAGCGGGTCCGAGCCGGGGAGCTGCCCGCACCTTACCTGAGAGGTTTTGCCGTCCATGGGCCGCTGCGGGCTGGGCTGGGCTCACAGCTCCGGCACGGCCATCCTGCGCAGCGCGGGGCCGAGCACAGCCGGGTGCCGCGGACGGGGCAGAATCTGTTTGGAGAGCGGCTCGTACGTCAGTGCCAGCGCCGAGGGAAACCAGTCCGACCTGCCGCCCGGCTCCACCGCTGCCTGTTTCCCAACTGCTCCAGGCACAGCATGCAAAACACCTGCCCCTGTGCCGGCCGGGCGCTCAGGGACGCGGGGCAGGGGCAGTGGGAGCCTGGCCGTGGCCAGAGGGATGGGAGTTTGGGAGCAGGTGAGATATACCCTGGCCCCAGGGGATGGTGGCATCCCGGTCTCCGGGAGTTCCTCGCTGCTCTCCTGGCTGCCTGCCCACCCAATTCCCCTCTTCTTCACTCTGTGCCCACCACACATTCACCCCCAACCTCTCCAGTCCAGCCAAGGGCTAAGCGTGCCAGCTGAGGATGGGAGAAGAGGGGGTGCACAGCCATGCCCAGCCCCAGGAAAAACCTCTCTGGTGTGACCCAGAAGCCAAGAATTCCCTGTTCCAAGGGAAATGAAATGTAGTTTCCCTCCAGTTTCTCTAGAGGCCTTTTCACTCCTTTACTAATGAAGTGATGCTTTTGCCAGCAGCCAGCAGCAGCCTCCTGCCTCCTCTTCAGGCACAAGCTGGGGATGCTTTGCTTAACCAAGGACTCAGGAAGAAACAGATAAAAACATCCAGATTAAAAGAAAAAGGCCCAGCTCCATTGTGTGCTCTCATATCCAGACCCATGACCCTCACTGCCACACATTTCTCCTGGCATTATTCATAGAGTAGGTCCCTTATTCATCCAGCTCCCCACCCACACCTGCTCATTGGCAGGGCAGGAGACAAGCAGGGACATCCAAGCTTGGAGAATACCTGCTGCAAAGCCCCTTCCTTTCAAGGCTGAAAAGCCTGTGCTGGATCCCACTATGCCCTCCTATTCTGGGAATCCTGTCTTCCAGGGGGGTTTCTGAGGCAGCCCTCTCTCCACAGCACACTCCTCTGCAGTTTTCACAGGCAGAAGTGGGTTTGGGGGTTTCTTCTTTGCCTTTTGTGGTTCCTCTGTGCCTGTGCAGGCTGTGCCTGCTGGGTGCTGGGGCTGGCCAAGCACTGAGCTGCATCCCCAGACAGCCCTGAGCCAGCCAGCCATGTCCCCAGGAGCTGACATACCCTCTTCAAAAAGGGATTTTCAGAAAGCAGCTCCAGGTGACAACTCCAGGAATCATTCACTGCTTGCCGGTGTTTCTACAAAGCCACCTACAGAGAACAGCGTGTCTGGCCTGACCCCGGCAGCCTGATGGTAAATGTCAGCCAGCACAACACCTCCCGGGTGAAATCCTCACCCTTGCCTGCTGGTAACTGCTCCTGTGAGCCCTGCAGCACCCTCCTGGCCTCCCAGCTAGCACAGAGGTGATAATGGCACACACGGCCAGGGCCGGCTCCACCAGCCCGGCAGAGCCCGGCGGCTCCTCCGCGCTCCGCTCCAACCTCCAGGCACGAGGCAATTGGGAAGGCAAGAGGATTGCTCTGCTCCTGTCCTGCAGCAGGGCTGTGCAGACCCAGCCCTCCGGCCCCAGCCCTGCTCTGAACAGGGCAGCATCACTGCCTGACCCCTCTGTCAGCCTGGGAAAACTTCCCGAGGCACACGGGCTAAGGAAGCTCAGACCCAGCTGTCCCTGGCCTGGGTTTCTCTGCCATGTGTCCACCAGGAGGTATTTCATGGTCAGCCACAGGTCATACTGCCCACCGTGCAGCAGCTCAGGTGCCAGCCCGAGTCCTGCGTCACTCACCATCCCTGTCTTCTGCAGAACTTTCACTTCTCCTCAGCCTGTTTCATTTTCCCCTAAATCGCCAACCCCTTCTCCCAAGGCTCTGAACTGCCTCACCCCCAGGACCAGCCCCAGGTTATCTTTTCCACAAAGCTCCCTCTTCCCTCGTTTTTGGTCCTGTTGCTTTTCATTGTCATTATTTTACACAAAACACAAGCTGTGGCTTTGTGTGGGATGGGCTGTGCTTCATCTCAGGACTCCTAAGTTCAGTGGCTGCCAGATCTGACTCAGCAGCTGATAGCAGAGTGACAGGACAGCAGTTGATCTGCCAAGGACTGGGGAATAAACCCAGGGCAGGGAGGGGATCTGCTGCTGGTGCTCTGGCCAGGCTGTGGGTTTGTGGAAACCCTTGGCCTTTAGCAGGGAGGACAAGTCAGGGAAAACAGCACAGATCTTCCACTTAAGGCACTTAAGATGATTCTTCAAGGAGGAACCTGAGGTCCTGCACCTCTGTGCCCACCAAGCCAGGCCTGACACGATGCTCTCTGAGCCTGTCCAGAGCACTTTTGGTTTCCCTTACTCTTTTCATCTGCGTCCTTTCCACTTATTCCCTGGCGGGAAATTCCTCTTCTCGTGGTGAATCACTCCCCATCACATGAGGAACCCAGGAAAACCCTCAAGCAAGCTCTCCTGTTATCCCACCTGCCAGGAGGCAAAGCAGAGGACTCACAGCCCTCTGGGGGGTAATTCAGGTCCCAGCATCACCAGACAGGCAGGACACCACTGTGGGGCCAGATCCCACAGCCACGTGAGTCATGGCCATACCTGGAGACTCCCAGAGCCCCGGGGACAGTGACAGCCCCTCTGCCACACTGGACCTCAGGTGTGTGTAGGTGTTTGCAGCACACAGAATAGCCCAGAAATTGTCACTCAGCCCCATACACAGGGAAAGAAACAGGAGGGCACAGGCTGAGCCCGAAGGAAGGGAGAGCCAGAACCCTCTCCTGGGGCTCCAGGGCTGGATGGAACCTGGCTGGATTTAGCTGCTGGCAGGACAGGACACGGTGCTGTGCTCTGTGAAATCCCTGAGACAGGTCACCCTCAGTGCTAACACTCACCTATGCTGTGCCTTTAACATCTCATTTCATAACAAAGCAGTAAAGGCAGAAACATCTTGTACTTGTATGTGCCTTTCTCAGCACTGCACCATTTTGCTCAGAAAAGCCCCCAAAATTCTTCCTTTAAGTCTGCTGTTGGAAATGCCCAGCGCGGGGCTGAGGCATTGGCTGGGGGTGAGTGGGCGGACAGCGAAAAAAAAAAAAAAAAAAAAAAAGTGGAAGTATCTGCACAGCGACTTTCCTCCCGCTCTGTGAACGCCTCCGAGACGTCACTGAGCCAAGCCCCGGGGAAAAACAGGCGCTCGGCACCCGCCGGGGCAGAGCTCGGCAGCGCACTCATCCTGCTGCCACGGAGGATGCTGAGCTGCCATGGGCCCCTCCGCCACCGCCCTGGCGCTGTGCCTGGCCCTGCTCCTCGCCCGGCACACGCACGGTGAGTCTCTTACCCCGGCCCCCCGGTGATAACCTCCCTGCTCATCTGCACGGCTCCGGGGGGGCTGCTCACACCGGGATGGGGGAGGCAGGCAGGGAGCAGGTCGGAGCCACAGCTTGAACACCATCACTGGGTGCTCAGACCGGCGCTTTGGAGCAAGACACGGCCAGGGCTCCCCGCTTGCCACTTGCCTTTCGTTGCTGGTCGGGGTCCAAAGGCTCTTGAGTCCCCAGCCTCGCTTGTCCCCATCGCTGTGATGGGGGATGAGGGACCTCGGCCGCTGCTGGGCTCGGTGTTCGCCGGCAGACAGCGGCTACCAGGGAAACCTGTGTGAGGGGGGGTGGTGGGGGCAGATGTTATCGAACCGAGGCTTTGCTGCCAGGTGACAGTACCGAAATCAGGCAGAAGGTGTGAAAACAGCCTCTTTCATGCAGGCAGGAGATGAGCAAAACAGGAAAGCAGAGTCCAAACACAGCTGCGAGAAAGCTGAGTCCAGACGGAGCCCCCATGGCCAATGGCAGGGGGTTGGGGATGCAAACACAGCTCCTTGCTTGGGGCAGAAAAGCTCGGGGAGCCTCCTGGCTGGGCTGAGCTGGGCTCTGCCCAAAGACAGCGGAAGGGGAAGATGGGGATGAGCAAACGCTGAAATCTGGACAAAGAAATCCAGGAAAGTCCTTACACATTTCGGGCGGTCAGCACTTAACGCGGGGCGAGGCTCCAGGAGGACATCCCGTGGGCACCAGCGGGATGGGGGCCGTGCAGCCTCACCCAACACCCACCGTGGGTCCCGCAGGTGAGGGGCTGGCGAGCCCCCGGCGCGTGCGCTTCGCTGCCGAGACCGCGTGGCACGTGCTGCGGTGGGAGCCGGGACACGGCCACCCTGGCGACGTCTGCTACGACGTGGAGTACAAAGTGTGAGTGCAGCCACGGGGGCACAGTGGGCTGATTGATCCCTGCCTGCCATCCGACTCCAGCAGCAGGGACAGCTGAGTCCCTGCGCTGCCCACACGGCTCTCACCACCCCCCCGTGCTTCTCCTGCAGCTACGGCACGAAAATCCCCTGGACGGCCGTCCCGGAGTGCACCAAGTCCTCGGGGCAATCCTGCGACCTCACCTACTACACCCTGGATCCCAACAGGCGCTACTACGCCCGCGTCAGGGCCGTGTCTGGGAACCACACGTCCTCGTGGCAAAGGACCAACGTCTTCTCCCCACAGGACGGTAGGTTGGGGTCTGCCTTCACCTCGACCGGGGGCAGGAGGCTCTGAGGATGGTGAGGTTAGGGTGCCAAACGGCTTGGGAAGAACTGTGGGATGAATGAGAGCGGGGATATTTCCCTCTGTACCTTCCTGGAGGGCAGGCAGGCTGCGGGATAGGATGGCACAAAACGAGGATGGGTGGCACGGGCTGCGAGGGACAGCCCTAACGTGCTCTTCCGACTGGCTTGCTTCCAGCCAGCCTGCGCCTGTCGGGCCAGAGCCTGTCCGTGAGGGGCAACACCATCCACGTGCAGCTGCAGCTGCTCTTCCAGACTGGGAACCTCACTGTGAGGTACGAGGACATCCACGAGCACATGAGGCAGTACCGGGTGTACGCCAGGAGGACGAAGGACAACAAGACGGTGAGATGAGTTGCTGCTCCCGTGCGCTCCCCACCTGTCCCACGCAGTGCTGCTCGAGTGGAAAAAACACATTGTTAAAGCACAGTCTTCTGTAAAACTAAATTTTGAGGCTTCTCAGAGCCACGACACAGCAGAGAGGTTTCTCTGCATGTTTTATTGCAGCAGCTTCCCCAGCTCTTGGGATTTTGGGCCTAGCTGCCATCAGCCGGGGAGGGAAGATGTTCCATCCCCAGGGGACAGGGGAGGAGGGGAGAGAAAAGAAGGGGAACCAGCCCTGCTGCAGGAGCTGGGGGCTCTCAGGTACCAGCCTGTGCTCTCCTTGTTGCAGTTTGAAGTGGTGGAGACCAGGGCAGAGTTCACCCTCAGGGACCTGCTCTGGGACACCGAGTACTGCCTGAGCGTGGAGCCCAGTGTGACCAACCGGCCCGTCCCCGCCACGCGCACCGACGAGCAGTGTGTCACCACCGCCCAGAGAGACAGTGAGTGGGGACCCTGGGGAGGGAGGGATGCAGACCCTCCTCAGCCTCCTTGCCCTGGGAACATGGGGGTCCATGCCAGGACAGCCGCTCTGTGCACTTTGGACACTGCCTGTCCCCCTCACCTGGACACGTCCTCTCTTGCAGGAGCTCTGGAGCTTCTCCCGAGCATCCTCAGCCCCTGCTTCATTGTGCTGTTGGGGATCCTGGGGGCTCTGCTGGTGCACACCTACATAAAGAAACCCATGAGGAAACCATCTGTCCTGGTAAGGCACCTTTTGTGGCTGGCACGGAGGTGCAGGCACAAGCTTAGGGAGCGCTGGGAGTGGCCAGCGACAAAAGGGACAAAGCATGGCTCACTCCCTTCTTTCCCTCCCTCTCAGAAGTCCTTCATGAAGCAGAGCTCGCTCTGGGTGGAGCATGAGCCCCCGTCCTTGGGCAGCCTGAACACCGACCCCATCCAGCAGCTCTTCCTGTGCCAGAAGGAGCCCCAGCTGGACAGCAGCACCAGCACAGCCCAGGTGCCCCTGGAGCAGGGCTGGAGGCTCCCAGTGTGGCCCGAGGACCGGCTGTGCCTGCAGGGACCCGTGGAGAGCAGAGACAACAGCGGCAGAAGCACCGACAGCGGCATCTGCCTGCACGTCCCCTCCTCCTCCTCCTCACTGAGCTGCTCCGTGGGCCCCGAGCCCCAGGGCTACAGGCGGCAGCTGCCCACTGGAGATGACAGTGGTGTGGGCTTGGAGAGCACCTGCCCTGGTCCCACGTGCTCCTCCAGCAGCGGGAACAGCAGCCAGGGGGGGCCAGCCCTCTGCCCTGCCAGCGGGCAGGAGGACGTGCAGTTCCACGGGTACCTGCAGCAGTGCAAGGGCTCGGTGGAGCCAAGGCAGGGCCCGGCCCAGGGAATGCCCCTCTCGGGCTGTGAAGGGCCTGGGCAGGGCACTGACCTCGTGCTGGATGTTGAGTGCTCCCAGCTGGCTGTGTCCAAAGGGTATTTGAAGCAGTCCTCTCCAGAGCGTCCCCGTGGCCACACACAGGACCTTGCTCCATGGGGAGCCCCTTCCTTGGACTTTTCCAGCCAGGTGGCACCCCTAGCCCCCACTCTGCTGAGCTGGGGGGCTCCAAGTGTTCCTTTGGTCTCCAAAGCTGGCCCTGAGCTCCTGAAAGCTCCCTTCGACCTGAGCATCTTCAACACTGACGTCCTGGGAACGCTGCCCCTCAGCTCCAGCCTCAGCACGGACTGGCTCACGCTGCCAGTGAACCCCCTGAGCCTGCTCAGTGGGGACAGCAAGGACAGCCGCCTGTGAGCTGTCCCCAGGCTGGGGGGCAGGTACTGCCAGCCCTGCACGCTGACACTACTACCTCTTCTACCCACTGCCCGTGGGGAGCAGCCACTTAATAAGCTACTGCCACCCCCTGAATGTTAACACACCAAACCAAGCGGTGCCGGGCCGAGACACATCCCAGGAGCTCCCGCTCAGCTACTGCTGGGGCTGCTTTGGCCCCAGGACTGTGTGGACAGCCCCCAGTGTGTCCCTCCAGCTGGTCTCTGGTGTGCAGCTAACGAGAGACAGGGATGGACCGCGCTGGAGAGGCTCAAGGATACGCACCAGGATGCTTCCCAAGGATGATCCTGTCTTGTCTGCCCTCCTCAGCAGCCCAGCATGAGGCACAGGGCCACCCTTGGGGCTGGGGCCAGCTCTGTGATTCCACTTCCCCCTTCCTCTGGCCAGCACTGGGCTCCTCCAGCTGACGTCCACAGCTCCGGTGACATCCTCCGATGACATCCAGACCTTTCACAACACAGACACTGGGAGCAGAGGGCAGCTGACATCAGCCACCCTGCTGCTGGGAGCACAGGGCTCCCTCCCTGGCTGACCTCACGTGGAGGGAGCGAGGGACTTCCCTGACCCTACAGAGACCCTGTGGTATCCAGCCCCTCTGGCAGAGCCCCGGGGTGCTGGCTGCCTCTGATGGGTTACGGGATACAGAACGAGCCAGGCCAGCCCTGCTCACACTATGGGCCATGTTCTGCCCCTGCTGTACACAGACATTATTTATTCTATTTAATTTGTAAATACAAAGATGTGGTGTTATTTATTTGGGCTGTTTGTCTGTTCATCCTCTCCTAAGGTCAAGCTGCGCTTTCCGTTCTCCCATACGGACATTCCCCGGCAGCAAAGGGCAACGTGCCTTCACCTCACGTGGGGAAGGACAGGAGAACCTCAGGGCAGAGCAGAACAAATCAAACCCAGGGGCTGGGGAAACCAGGCAAGACTGAATGTGGCACTTAGTGCCACGGGCTTGTTGACATGGTGGTGTTTGGTCATAGGTTAGATCTGATGACCTCAGAGGTCTTTTCCAACGTAATTGATTCTGTGAATAGTTACTGTCAGAATGGAAACAGCAAGAGATGGAAAAACTCACCATGGGCTACACACTTTGCTGCCAGATCGCAGGGAAGTTTTTCCAGAGAGTCACTCAGTTTCCAAGAACCTTCACGGTGGGATAGTCCCATGAAAACTGCTGGTGGAAACCTTCCTCGGGGAGCATGTTTTTCAGGTGAAAGCATGAGTCACTGCAGGCAGGAGGAGGGGGCTGATCATCGCCAGGTTGCCTTTTGTTACATCTGAAGTTGCGCTACTCACCCGTGAGCTCAGTCCCTGCGTCCCGCGGGGGCCCAGCCGTGGAGGGCACTGTGCACCCCCTCCTGCCCCTCCACCGACCCCAGCTCTTCTGCCTCTGTGTATTTTGGGGGCTGGAGCTTTCTGCTTGCTTTCTTTTTCTTTTTTTTTTTTTTTTCAACTTCCTCTGGAAAACGGAGTCATCAAAACTAAGCATGATTTTTTTTGGTTTTTCTTTTAATCGCCGCTGACGTCAAGCTCCGCGGGCGGATCCTGCGCCGTGCTGAGCACTGGCAGTTCCTGCTCACCACCAAGGGCTCCAGCTCCCAGCACCTGGGGCTCCATGAGCAGCCAGAGCTCTCCTCTCAATCAAACCCAGGAGTTGGCCAGAAAGCTGCAGACCACAGGGCTTGCCTTTGGTAGCCGAGAGTCCCTCCGACTGCCTGGAAATCCCACTCTGTCTTCACTGGTTTCCCAACACACAGCCACGGGGACTCACGAGTTTCTCTTCATTTTCCTTATGAGAAAAGTTTGCAAAGAAATGCTCCCAAAGCCCCCAGTCCCTGCCAGCCCCACAGGGCCCCTCTCTGTGGCCACAGCACCTTCCCCACGGCTGCTCTCATGCTCTGGGCACTTCCACAGCCACTTGCTCTGCTGAGACTGAAGGCAACTGGTACAAAAAAATCAAGACAAACCTCACAGGGGCTTTCTGAGATGTTTGTTTGCACTACTGGGGACAAACTCCCACATTGGTCCAGATACTGGAGTGAGGAGGGGGGCCTGGAGCAGACTTCCCATTTCTTCACAGCATTTTCCACAGTTGCACAAACCCAGCCCCCCCAGTTCTGGGGCTCCTGGCTGTCCTCCTTAACTAGTGCCCTGCACTCACAGTCCCAGGTCTCCTGGGCATGCAGGTGGCTGGTCCCGAGGGCTGGAGGGTCTCTGAGCCGTGGGGAAGGTGGCTGTTTTCTCGGGGATGAGTGCTGAGGGAGCCTGGGATTCCTATTCCTCCATCCCAAGCAAGGGGAGGCTGTGCCAGTGCCAGTCCCAGGCACCTCCTGTGCTGCCCATGGCCAGGGAAGGACAGCAAGAGAGCTGTGGCTGTGGAGCAGAGGGAGGAGCTGCCCAGGGAGAGTCTGGAGTCTCCCTCTCTGGAGGCATTCAAAATCCTCCTGGATGCACTCCTGTGTTGTACTTCCAGGTGGCAGTTTGGACCAGGTGGTCTCCAGAGGTCCCTTCCAACCCCAGCTGTCGTGTGATCCTGTGAAGCTTTTTTTAAAAGCAGAAACTGTACCATTTCCATTTCAGTAGAAATGCAGCACAGTCAGGGGCTGTTTTTTACAGAAGTGAAAACAGAGGAGTTCCCCCCGGCTGGTTTTGGTTGCTTTTTTTGGTTGGTGCTGGACGGGGGGTGTGAGGGGCAGCGAGAGGAAGCGGTGCAGGAGCACCAGGGCTCCAGCCCCAGCCCCCTTTGTCCCTCCCCACGTGTTCCAGCCCAGCCCAAGGACAGTGGGGAAGGAAACACAAACCAAAGCCTTTCCAGGGGGAACAAAAAACAGAGCCTGAGGAAAGCCCCTTTGGCCCCACAGCCACAGGATTTCTGCTGGAAAATCTTTGGGACTGTCCCAGGGAAAGCTGCGATGCCCAGGGGCTACGAGGCAGCAGGGAGGCTTTGGGGCACAGCATTCTCACCCCCCCTGGGCTCCTCACAGAGGCACCCACAGGCTGTGCTGGGGGACACCCATTGCTGGGGACCCCACACCCACCACAGAGTGATGTCCTACCTGCTCAGCAGCCCAGCCCCCTCCTCACAGCCCCCGGGTGTGGAAGGGCTCGTAGCCACTGCCTGTGGTGTCCAGAGAGCCACTGATGCTGAACGGGGGCAGCAGCTCCACTGCCAGTGACCCCACCCCACTGTGGGGAAAGCAGAGATGTCAGCAAGCTGCCCGTCCCCCTCCAGCCCCTGCCACCTACAGGGTGGGGACTATCCCCGTGGAGACCCCCAGAACAGCCATCCTGGGGAGGCAGCGCCTGCAAACTGCAGGACGTGGTGGATTGGGGACTGGTGAGGGCTTGTGACACCTCAGCACCGTGCAAAGGGAGCAGCCAGCACACCCCAGGTCCCCCCACGGCACCACTCACCGCGTGTGGTAGAGGTTGAAGACAAAGTCAGGCCCTGGAGAGGCAGGAGGAGGAGGAGGGAGAGGTGTCAGAGCCACGTGGTGCCACAAAACCACCTTTACCTCGCTGTGAGCCTGTGTGGCAGCACGGGGACAGGCAGGACAGGCAGTGGGACAGCACCAGGACATCAGTGTGCATCCCCCTCCTCGCCTCTGCATGTCCCCAGCTCACCCCAGAGCTCCCTGCACGTAGGCTTCCCCAACTGCCCAGGGGCCAGCAAAGGTCAGGGGTGCTCCCCAGACCCTGCAGGCCTGTCCTTTGAGCCCTCCCTGCCCTGTCACCACCTGTCCCCCCACACTCACGGTGCCAGCGCTGGCCCCTCTGGTACCAGCGGATGAAGGTGTAGCTGAAAACCACCAGGATCAGCAAGGCCAGCCCGATGCCCAGCACAGCCCCGATCACGCTGACGGGCTCTTGCCCTGCAAAGCAGAGGGAGAAAGGGCTCTGCAGACAAACACCTCTGGGAGGCTGGGGGTTCTGATCATCCCCAGCTGGGATGTGACCTTCCACCCTGTGCTGTCCCTACAGCAGGGAAGGGCTACACACCACGAGGCTCTTGAGGGCTGTGGCACCGAGATTTCTGCCACCCCCAAAGCCCTGTGATGGAGACTTGGTCACACAGCCACCACCTCTGCTGTCCCCAGGAGAGCTGGCAGGCGGGATGGTGACTGGGGAGGGAGCTGGCCACCCTGACAACGCTGTATCCCCACTTCTGGTCCCACTCACACCCTCGTGGGGTGAAGCACCTCGTCCAGCTGCCCCGGGAGCCATCCATCCCCTCAGCCAGCCCTGCACAGCCGCGCAGACCCATTTCTGGGCTGGCAGTTCCCTCTAGAGGATGCACTTGTCAGGGCGAGCAGCCTCCTGCTGCCAGGGCTGGGCTGGGACGGGGCACGGAAGGGGCTGTGCGGGGACATGGAAGGGGCTGTGCAGGACCACTCTGGGGCTCTGCACCACTCCATCCCTCCCTTCCATGTCACAGGGGCTGGCGAAGTCCAGCACCAGCCAACGATCCCAGGATTGTCATCGAGGTGCCCAGCACAGCAGAGCTGCTGAGAATCCACTTCTCTGCTGACAGCTCTGGGTGATGGTTGCCCAGGAGGGCACAGGGGGTTTGGGCACTGCCCCTCAGCACGGCCAGCCCCGCAGTGCAGGGCACGGGGACGGATCCTGCGCCTTGCAGAGCCTGCAGAGAGGAGGCAGCGGAAAGGGATGACCTAACAGCAGCTAAATTTAGGCAGATGCCAGTGGAGTGAGCACATTTCCCCTGTGGTCACAGTGTTTGCATAGTGAGCAAGGTCCCGGGTCATCCTGCAACCCGCAGCACTTGCTCCACCTGATGGGATCCGGGAGCCACAGACGTGTGAGCACCCGGGTTCCACGGCAGAGCAGCAGGAGCAACATGCCCTGCCCTCCTTTCCACCAGGCCCTCCTGCCTGGAGAGGGGTACACGGGCAGCCAGTGCCTCCTGCTCCAGCTGGGGCAGGGATGAGCTGGAGCCCCAGGTCCCGGCAGGGGTGAGGTGAGGAGCTGCTACAGCCGTGACTCATGTGCAGGAGCTGCAGGGCAGGAGGGACGTGGTGCAACAGCCTCCCTGAATCAGGTGGCTGCCGAAACTGCCCTGTCCCCACGCCCACTGCCAGTGGGAGGATGATGGCTTCGTGCCCAGGCCCTGCCCCGTGCCGTGTGTGGGAGGCATCCCTGCCCTCACCCTGGGGAGCAGACACCCTCACACACATCCCCACATCCCAGAGGGATGGCTCTGAGCAGCGCTGCTGGAGGCAGAGCCACTACAGCAGGTGAGCCCCAGCCCCAGCTCCCGGACAGCAGAGGGGAGGAAGGTCACCAAAACACTGCCCATGCCATGAACCATCCCACCGCTGCCCCGTGAGGGGAGAAAAAGGCCCCCCACTCACCTCTCCGGGGGTCCATCTCCCGGTGTCAGGCGCAGGAGCTGCTCGTGGCTGTCCCGGGCTGGAGCTGTCACAGCAGAGCCCCGTGTGCGCTGGAGCCTGGCACGTCCTGCCCCTGCCCTCCTGTCCCGGTGACACAGCTGCCTCACCGCCCCCACTGCAGCCAGCCCAGGCACCGGTCCTCGCCCACTGGTCCAACTGGTTCCCGGGGAGAAAGCAGAGGAGCTCCGGCAGACACGGCAGACGGCACATCCCGGTGCCCAGCCCAGCCTCCCCACCCCCTGGGGTGGGCATGATGCCCGCCTGTGTGGGCAGCTCTGCCCTCCCACTGCTGCAAGAGGCTGAACTGGGAGCACTGGGAGCCTGAGGGACAAGGACACCCTGTACACAGGTAGCAAGGTGCCTGAGTGGCCCTGTCCTTTGGCAAACACCTCCTGGCAAAGACCAGTAGCCAGGAGGGCAGCAGGGGCTTGGGCACTTGGGGATACCCACAAAGGTTATGGCCCTGTGCAGGACCCCAGGGGGGCAGGGCGTCCCCCAGAAGCTGCCCCCAGTCAGATGCCCAAGATGATGCACTTACAGCTGTATGAGATCATCTTCTCAAAGTCCCGAACCACAGGGTCAGGTGGGAAGTCAACTCCTGCTGGTGGAAAGAGGGAAAACACCTCCTGTGGCTGCAGGGAGAAGTGACAAACAGGGATAACAATTAACAGCTGGAAACTGGGCAGCCAGAGACAGAATTCCTTCCCGGTTTGTGCCACCTTGCCAGGCCCAGCCTCTACCATACCCCATTGCCAGTGGCATAGGGTGGCCAGGGCAGAGTCGAGCCCCAGAGCCCTCCCCAGGGTGAGCATCTCAGTGGCAAGAGCAGGGGCAATGCCTGGGGCCTGCAGGGATGCAGAGCCAGCAGGATGCAGAGGGGACAGTGGTCACTGCAGACCCCCAGGTCCTGGCAGTGCCCAGCTCACAGGGAGAGGATGGGACCACTCCTTGCCGGACAGGAGAGGACAGGGATGATGTGTGTGCACGAGTGGCTTGGGGACACTGATGGCCACACAGAGCCCTGGGCCAGCCCTGCCTTGACCCCTGCCTGACCCCAACAGGGCCAGGATGCCCAGAAATCTGCGTCATGGCAGGGCTCTGGGTGCAGGAGGCCAGGGAAGGGCTGGAAATGCAGCCGCACTCCAGGAAGCAAAGCCCCGAAGGTGCCCAGAGCTGTGACATAACATCTGCAAACCTCAGCTGCTTCCTCAAAGCCTTGCTAACCTCAAAGGAGGAAGGGCCGCTCCTGCCATGCCACTTCCCTCCCCACGGATGCTCCTGGGCTGCTCTCCCTTCCAGGGCAGCGGGGCTGGCACTGGGATGCTCTGGGAAGGCTCTCAGGACCCACCGTGGAACACCAGAGACCCAAGCTCTGCCCAGCTGCCCACTGATGCAGCCCCTAAACCCAGGGAGGGTGGTTTTCAAGCTGAAATCTCTCACAGCAACACAGCCACCCCCCAGCTGGACCTGCCAGTGCCACTGCCCACCCTCCATCCCACAGTCTCTGGGCATCACATGGACCACGGGGACGGGAGCTGTGGGCACAGCCAGCCCAGGTCCCCACCCCTCCTGAGGGGGCTGGATCCTCAGCCTCAGGATAACCTTCCTCGAACACCCACTTTCTTCACCTTTACCTTCCCCCCAGCAGTGCCAGCCGTCACCTGGGGACACACAGACCGAGTGACCCCAGAGCCAGGTGACCTCGTGCACAAACTCTCCTCCTTTCCTCCTCCACCTACCAAACCCTCGGTGCAAAAACAACCCCGTGCAACGCGGAAGAGTCAGACAAAGAGCGGGATGGCCGCGGATCCCCTTATCGTCAGGAGGAGCAGGAAAAATCAGTCCGTTCACTTCTGATAAGCTATTTGGTGACAGCAGCCCTGCGGGTGAGTCACCCCCCAGTGGCAGATGCTCAGGAGATTACAGCAGGTGATGGTGTGCTGATAGACCGGTGTTGTATTACAATACAAACCATAATTCCTGTTTCACAACTCCCCTTGTGGGTTTTAAGGAGTGCTGGGGCGGTCCTGCCCCAGTGTGAGCGCAGGGCGGGCACAGGGAGCAGGCACAGGGGTGCGGGAGCATCGCCGGCCCCGGCTCCGGCACATCGGGGCACCTGCACCCTGCACGGGAGGATATTCTGGGATTCTCTGGAATTGGCTGGGTTTCTGCAGGCAGAAGGACCACGCTGGAGCTGCATGAACATGGTGAGTCACTGACAGCTCTGCCCCCAGCCCCTGGTTCCCCGCACAGCCCGTGTCCCACCGCGCTCCCAGCCTGGCAGTGCCAGGAGAGATTCACCGGTGAAGGGGCAGCCCAAACTCAAAAAGCTGCTGCTCCCCAGCCCCAGCAGCATCCAGGCAAGGCAGGGTTTTACCTGCATCTCTCAGCACACCACTGTGGCTGGTGGATATGGGTCCTTGGTACCCCCCGAGCTCTCACTCCCACGTTTCTCTGGCGTGCCTTGGCCCTCTCCCAGCCCGGGAAGCAGACGGACAGGGCAGTGTGCCTTGCAGTCTGCATGACAAGGGGAACAGGCCCTTCTGGAGTCTCACCCCTCCCGAGAATGTTCTGGTTCTTGTGCACCACCTGGATGAGAGCCAGGCCCCCCTGTCCTGCAGTTCCGCTCCCACTGTGGCACTGCAGGTCCCTCTGTTTGGGGACACTCTCGCTGCCTGCAGTGCCCTTTGCCAGCAAAGCCACGGCCACCAAACCCCAACCTGGCATGCAGTCCCTCCCTAGGAGGGAAAGGCTTCCCCAAGAGGGCAGACAGGTACAACCCAGCTCGCTGAGCACCTTCAAACCCTCCACCAGCAACACACCAGGACATCCTCCCCTCCAGGGTGGGCAGCTCGCCCCCTGCACGGCAGCAACAGCTACACACACCCACGGGTTACATCCCCACAGCCAAGGAGTCAGCCTCGGAATCCAATCACCCTGGGAAGCTTGGCTTTGTGGAGGAACATCCCACCTGCTCCTGAGGGAGGGAAGAAGCTCGGCTCAGCACACCCTGCAGCCCCCTGGATGGTGTGGGTGAAGAGGTTCATCAGCACTCCACAGCTCCTGGGCTGGCATTTGCACAGCTGGAGCACAAAATGGCCACAGTGACATTAAGTGCTTTGAGAGAACACGGCAAGGGAGCTCAATTAGTTACGGTAGCCTTGGGTTCTCCAGGAAATCATGTGCCTGCACTCCACGCAGGAGTGGGCTCAGCTCTTGCCTTGCTTTGGATTTAACCAGCACAGCTCTTGCCCATAGCATGGGCTTTAGAGGAGTCATGGAGAGACAGCTCTGAGCAGCTCCAAGATGTGAAACCCTTTGAAACAGAGGAGGTTTGTGGACTGAAGAAAATGCAACAAAACAAAACAAAACAATAATCTCTTATCCCAACTGCATCTGCCCCAGACCTGCACAGCTGCCTCAGAAAGGAGCCTGGATGACGTGATGGGGACAAGTATGGGCAGCCTGGGGACAGGCAGGGGCAGCACTGCCACTGCAGTGCCCCTCAGCTGGGGAGGCTGGAGGATCCATCGAGGCCTGGGAGCATTCCCACTGGGAACCGTTAGGATGCCATTATCCAGGTCCTGCCCAGCCCGGGCCCTCGGTGACACAGGAGGTCAGCATGAGGAAGGAAGGACCAGCCCCACATGCCCTGGGCTGGCTGCACTGCAGGGTGTACCTGCAGCACCACAGAACCCCCGGGGCTCCTGCAGGCACCAGGAGCTGCAGAGGAGCAGCTCTGGAAGGGCAGCACGGATGGGAGGTGCAGGATGCATGTTCCCCTTCCTACCCTGCCCTCCCACTCCCTGCCACCAGGAGCCAGGCCCTGCTCCCCGGGGAGCTGATCAGAGCCCACCCAGGGGTGGGGAATTTGGCACAACCTTCCTAGACCTGGCAGGGGTGCCAGCTGAGCTCAGCTGTTTGGAGAAAAGCCGCTGGCATTTCCTCAAAGGAGCCAGACGTTGGCATGCTGGGGCACAGCCACATGCCCACAGCACCAGGAGGGATCCTCACCTGCAAAGGTCACTTCTTGTTCCCAAAATCGGCAGCCCAAGCCACGGAGCAGGGACATGTTGGGGAGGAGACATGTCCTGGCTGAGCCAAGCGAGCAGCACATCAACCCAAGCTGCCTGTGCACGTTAGCCCAGCAATAATGGCTTGGCACTCGCCTGCAAAATCCTGCTGGCAGATGCTGTGTGCATGGCTAAGCATGCCCTGCTGCAGTGACCCAGGGAGGGAGGGCTCACCTCTGCTCTAACCTGCCCTGAGATGGAGGACAGACCCTCACCCACCTGCCCAGTCCCACTGTAACGCTCTTCTAAGTCCCAGCCTCCAAGCCCTGAGATGGCACAGGGAGCAAAGGCTTCCAAAACCCCAAACCCTCCTGGATCTGTGGGTTTATCACAGCGGATTTAATCTTCCTTACCTCTGTCCATGCAAAAAACTTCTCTTACCTGTCGTGGCAGAGTCCAGAAGCAACAGCAAAGGACAAGAGCTTACTGGGGCTGGCTCACTGGAAGGGACCAGCCTCAGCAGAGCAGGAACACCATTCCACACGCTGCTGTTCAATAGCACAGCACCAATACTGCTGCAAAACAGGGCAACAGGCTCACACCATGCCCACCTGGAGCCCCCCAAAGGGGCTCTGGGCTTTGCCCAGCACCAGCCCTCTGACTGAGGACAGGGTCACAGGACGTGCCCTCCTGCAGGTCTCCCACGAGAAGCTGGTGCGGGAGGGTAATTGTGAGGAGATCAAGTGGATCAATGCCTGATTCATCAGGGCTCCAGCCCTGGCTGCTGCTGGGCTGTGTTTACTGCGTGTCCTAGCAGCAGCACAGCCTGCACTCCCTCCCTGCCCGCCCTGGGAGCGCTGGCTCCCATGGGATGGTTCCTGCAGTGCTCCAGGGGCCTGTCGGGGAGCGCTCAGGCTTTGTCTCCTGCCATCTGACCCTACTGAGGATATAACCCCCCTGTCGTGACATGCCTGCCTGCCTGCCACAGCCCTGCAGGCATGTGTATTTTGACTCAGGGTTTCTTGGCACATCAGAAAGTGCCTCTTTTGTAACACCTGTGACATTTTTAAGCCTGTAACATTAACAGCCACTTACTGGAATTGCACAGGTGGTGTCTGTGGGAACAACACTGCAGGTGACCCCGGGTGACACCAGTTGGTTGTGACACCAGTTGGTTGTCACACCAGGACGCATCCCCAGCAGCTCTGAAGCTGGATGGAGGCTGGGGCAGTTTCCCTGCTCATCCCTCCTGCCTGCAGTGACTGGTTCTCCCCTCTGCTTTGCAGGACTCAGCCTCGGAGCGGCTGAACGGCAGAGGTAACTCCTGGGGGGGCTGGGGGTGAGGGGTGCCGGGCTGAGCCCGGCCATGCAGGGCCACGCTCCTCTGCCTTGCAGGGCCCAGCACGAGACACAAATCCTCGAGGAGGCTGGAGTCCTTCAAGCTGGTCGGCGTCCTGGTCCTGGCCGCGGTGCTCACCCTCGCCTGCCTGGTGGCCATCGGCTTCCTGGGTACGGCTCCCGGTGCCCCCTCCCTCTCCTCTCGCATGGCCACAGCTCAGCAAACACATCTCTGGGCCCAGCTCTTTGCTGGGCACCCCCTGTGCCAGCCCTGAGCCCGCCCAGCAGCCGGAGCTCTGTGCTGAGCCCCCCTTTCCCTCCAGTCAAGGTTTACCTGGATCACCACTACCTGTTCTGCAAGCAGCCCCTGAAGCTGGTGCCGCTGCAGCGGGTGTGTGACGGGCAGGTGGACTGTCTGCAGGGCGAGGACGAGGCCAACTGTCCCCAGTGGGTCCCTGAGGGGCCACCGGCGGGGGGTGAGTGCAGGACACCCCGTGAGAACTCTGGAGTGCTCTCCTGCTAAAGCCAGCCAGAAGCTGACTTTGTGTCTGCCTCCAGCCCGCGTTTCCAAAGACAGATCCATCCTGCAGGTGCTCAACAGGAACACCAGAGCCTGGTCCTGTGTCTGCCACGACCACTTCGACCTGGTGCTGGCCAAGGCAGCCTGTGAGCAGATGGGCTACAGGAGGTACAGGCTGCTTTCCCCACGCCTCACCCCACTGCTTTATCTGTGCCTCTCCCATAAAAGCTCTGTTGGAGTGGGGCTCTGGTCACCTGTAGAGCACTCAGAGCTCTGCACTAGTGCTTACAGTCCATCCTCACCACACAGGAGCTGGCTCAGAGCCCTGGCAGCCTCCCATGGAAGCAGAGTGTTGTGCTCAGTGTGCCCTGCTCTGCTCCCAGCCCATGGGCACCCTGCCCTGCTCTTGTCCCTCACCTCCTCCTCACCCTCCAGCACCACTGCCCTCACCAGAGCAGCCAACATAACTCACCTGGGCAGGGGTGGGCACAGGGCCCCTTTGTAGCCTGGGACAGCAGCTCTTGGCTGGGGCTGTGGGTGCTGCACAGTTGCATCCTTGCAGATGTCACGAAGCTCCATCCCAAGGAACCCATTTCTCCCATGGGATCCAGGCTCCTGAGATGCTCAGGCACCAGTGCCTGCCCCCTCCCAATCCCTGTGTCCCACTGGTAGCACACCTGGCTGCCTTTGCTGACCCGTGCCCTCCGTGTCTTTCAGCACCCCCACTTTCCAGGGGGTGGAGGTGGGCACAGGGCAGCCCCTGCCCCCCCGCGAGGTCGTGCTGAACAACGGGAGCCTCCAGGTGCTGGAGCCGGGCGGGTGAGTGCGCACCGTGTGGGGAGTGGCCGCTGAGCCCCGAGGGGGAGTGCAACCTGGGCTTGTCCCCCACCCAATCCAGCCCTTTCCCTCCTTCTTCCAGGAAATGCCTCTCTGGATTGGTTGTTTCGCTCTTTTGTTCCAGTAAGTACCATGACTTGCTCCCGGCCCTCTCCCTCCCCACTTCCCGCAGCGTTTGCACGAGGAAAGTTGGATTTAATTACCGCTAACCTCGTTAAGCCAAGTGCAAACCTCCCAGAAATGGAACACCTGAGGGAGACTTACCCAGCTTGCCTGGATGGGTCTACTTCTGCTGATGAATAAACCAATCCCCCTGGTGGGCTGGAGCAGGCAGGGGATGGCTTCCAGCAAGCCTGGGGACGAGGGGCGATGGCAGTGTCGTGGGGTGAGGCACCCCAGCCACGCTTCCCTCCCTGGGAGGTGCCAGACCCTCGTCCCCTGCTCACCCTGTCCCTCCTAACGTGTCCCTTTGCCCCCCTGTCCCTCCTAACGTGTCCCTTTGCCCCCCACGCCCTCAGACTGCGGGCAGAGCATCCGCACGCCCCGAGTGCTGGGCGGGAGCCCGGCTGCCATCGAGGCGTGGCCGTGGCAGGTCAGTCTGCAGTACAGGAAGGAGCACATCTGCGGGGGCAGCATCATCGACCCCGGCTGGGTCCTGACGGCCGCGCACTGCTTCAAGTGAGTCGGCACCTCCCCAGGCTGAGTCCCGCCGGGTTTGGGCCGCGTGTTGATTAAATGTCAATGAACACACGTGTAATTAACACATCTGCGCCCTCGGTGTGATGCCGGGCTGGGCAGCGTGCAGGCAGGGCTCTGCTGCCTGTCCCCGCAGAGGGATGAGCAGTGACAGAGCTGTCTGTGCTCAGGAACAACCCCATCGTCCAGAGCTGGCGCGTGAAGGCCGGCTCCGACCTCCTCTCCAGCACCGCCACCTCCGCCGTGGAGAAGGTGTTCCTGGCCGAGGTGACCCCCGCATCCCCCAAGGACAACGACATCGCCCTGGTGAAGCTGCGCTCTCCCCTGCACGTCTCAGGTGAGCCCTGCTCGGGGCAGGAGGCCCGAGGGTCCTCTGTTGGCACCGAGCAGCAGGGCTGGGAGTGGAGTGCCTGGAGGGTGGGTGGCCCCAGCCAGTCTGGGCCCCTTCCCTGCGAGCACCCCCAGCCATCTCCCTTCCAGACAGCACCAGGCCCATCTGCCTGCCCTATTTCGACGAGGAGCTGGTGCCGGGCACGCCCCTGTGGGTGATAGGCTGGGGCTACACGGAGGAGCACGGTGAGCTGGACTGCACGGGATGATGGGGGCACTGCCGGTGGGCTCTCTCCTCCCCCGGGGTCCCCCTGAGCAGCCCCTTGTCCCGCAGGGAAGCTGTCGGAGCGCCTGCAGCAGGCGGAGGTGGAGCTCATAGACGAGCAGAGCTGTAACCTGGCCGCCTACCACGGGGAGGTGACCGACAGGATGCTGTGTGCCGGCCTGCCCCAGGGCGGGGTGGACACCTGCCAGGTGGGGGGCCTGGGCTGGGAAGAGGGGGGGGTGGGTCTGCACCCACCCATGACACGGCCCCTTGGAGGGGAAAGCTGTGGTGGGAAACGGGTGCTGGGGATGGAGGGGCCTCCTGAGCCCCCCTCAGAGGGTCTGTCCTTGGCAGGGGGACAGCGGCGGGCCCCTCCTGTACTCGGGTGGGCACTGGCAGGTGGTGGGCATCGTCAGCTGGGGCCAGGGCTGCGGCACCCCCAGCACGCCTGGCGTCTACACCAGCGTCCGTGCCTACCTCGACTGGATCTACACCGTCCGCAGGGTCAGTCCTTCTGCCGCCTCCACTGCTCTGGGCACAGCTTTTGGGGGGAAAGGCAGCCCCCTTCAGCTGAGCTGTCTCCTTAAGGACACAGCTGTTTTCCTCCTGGTTTTGGCTGCCCTTTCAGAGCTTTCAGTCTCTTCCCTCCCTCTCTCTCCTTGCAGTCGGAGCTCTGAGACCTGCCGGAACAGGTCGCTTCTCCCCCCAAACCTCCCTCCCCATCCTTTTACCCTTGGCTGTCTCGGCTCCAAGACACGGATCTCCAGCCGTGGGAGGTGAGCTGAGCCTCCCAAACCCTCGCTGGCAGCTGTGGTTTAGGGCGCCAGAGCCCAGCCAAGGAGGAAAAGCCTCGGAGCGACGGCCACCGATACCACAAAGGAATCTGACCGGCTCGAACTCCCTTCCGGAGAAAGATTAATTTATTGCCCTGTGCTGACCCCGCTGTGGCAGGATGGCTCCTGGGGGGCGAAGCTGCTGTCAGCTCACTCCTGTTATACAGAGAGAGATGATGTTTGTGTTGTAGAGTATCCCCACGTCCCCATTAAAGGAAAGGGTTTGTTTTTTCACGCGGCCTCCGAACGCTTTGTCCTTCTCGCTCCCAGGGCTGGCTTTGTCCAGTCCCCTCACAGACCTAAACAAGACACCCACAGCAACCCAAACCACAGCGAGCTTCTCTAGTAAACATAAACTTTATTTCATTCAGGGCAAAGCTAACTAAACCTCTACAGTGCAAAAATGTGCTGTAAGTCATCACGCAGCCTGTCGCACACACATCCTGTGTTTACACGCAGGTGTCTCCCACGCAGATTTATAAATGCTCATACACATCCATGTCTGTGGCAGCACAACCCCCCCGGTGTGCCCTGGAAAGCCTCTGCAGACCCCCCAAAGCCCCAGGGACAGCAGGGACTCTGCTGGTGCTGGCACAAGCCCCCGAGGCAGCCCGCTCCCCCGGAGTCCCTGCCCTGCGTGCAGCACCCGTGTGCCTACGGAGTTACATTCCAAAAAACTGCTTATGTGGACTTTTTCCATCAAGCCAGAGGAGTAATCCATGCATAGTGCAGCATTGCATATCCGGCAGGAAGTGGAACTGCGTCCACACACACCGGCTAAAAAAAGGCCAACAGGTTAGGACAGCTAAAAATAGTTCTTTAAAAAAACTCCCTCCCTCCCTCCCCTCGCTGTCCTCTCCCACGGGAGGGCTCCTCCAAGGACGGGCCGGGGGTTCTCTCGGGGTGACTGGGAGGTCTCAGGCCTCCTCCTGGGCTCGCACATGTGGCAGGTCACAGCACCAGGCACAGCACCAGGCACCGGAGCACCTCCGCCCCGGGGTCACGGCACAGCCATGCAGGGCACCTCACACCTCCTGGGAGGGAGCTCAGCCTCCCTGCCCCCGCTTCACACATGGGGAAAATGAAGCACAGAGAAGTGACTTGCCTGAGGGTCCCACAGACCCTCAGGGAGGGGACCAGGATCCCGACTCCCACGTCTGATCAGCAGCCAAGGGAACCTGCCCGGGGCCAGGTGCCGGTACCTGTCCCCTGTCCCAGCACACAGCCCTGCTCGAGTGGGTGCCACTGAGCCCAGCCTGGGGTGATCAGCCTGCTGTGCACCTGGCAAAGGCTCCGAGTTGCCTTCCACACCAGTGTCTCCAGAGAAGGCAGCACCCAGCCTTTCCTTGCTCTCCTGGCCCACCACATCCTCGCCTGCCTCCCACTCTGGCACCTCTGTCAGGGCACAAGCCCCTGCAGCCAGGGAAGTCCTGGCTCAGCTGTGATTCCCAAACTAGAGTGGGGATGGGGAGCTGCCTGTCCTGCAGCTTCACTGTCAGACACCCACAAATAGGAGAAATGGGGAAGAAGTCACAATGTAAAGGACATTGTCAACCTCAGCTGTAGAATCAGCTCTTTCACTTCGTGTCTCACATGCTTGGGAAGGGGGCTGGGTTGCCTGAGTCCACTCACAAAGACCCTCTGGCTTTCTGTGGCACCCCTCATCCCAGGGTCTCAACATTAGCCACGGAAGCCTCACAACCACCCCGTGAGGTAGAGCAGTATTATTATCCCCATTTTACAGATGGGGAAACTGAGGCATGGAGAGGCAGAGCAACTTGCCCAAGGTCGCCCAGCGGGCCAGTGGCACAGCCCTGGCCCGGCCCCCCTCGCCAGGGCCCGGCCATGCCCCCTCCCTGCGTGGCAGATGGATGCCACAGTTTTCCTTGGGTGAAAGGGCAACACAATTGGCTGCTTTCCCACTGGAGTCTGATATAAAAATATCCACGTAACGAGTTCAGCCTTGGCATCAGCATCAAAAGCATCGCTGCTCTGAGTGCCGAGTTCCAGAAAGAGGGGAGGGGGGCAGCACAAACCCAGGGAGTGCTCCCAGTGCGGCTGCCCGGGGAGAAGCCCCTGCTGCCCCCGGGGATGGCCCTGCACGGGGGCAAAGCCAGTGTGAAATGTGACACTTCACCCCACCACGGGCCAGTAGTGACCCCAGGACACAGCCAGACCCCACCACTGCTCCCCCCAGCCCTGCTGTGAGAGGAACTGAGGCACAGCAAGGGGCCTCTCACTGATTTGGTTCTCAAACGCTTAACGGGGGAGCTGAAGCCAAGCCCCACCACAACAGCCCTGTTTCCTCCCATCCTGCGCCGCACCCATGGGAGATGCAGCAGCGGCAGGAGACTCCATCTCCACAGCCGGCTCTGTGCACCCTTGCTCTGCTCCAGAAACCTTGGGGATGAAGCAGGCAGCTCCCAGCCACCCCAGCCTCCAGCGACACACCCCGCGCTCCTCGCTGCCTCCACCCTGCAGGCACAGCGGGACCCCCGCTCGCCCACCTCCCAGCACCCCCAGGCACAGCGCCTGCCCAGCTGCACGCCAGGGCACCCCCAGCCCCCGGGCCCTTCCCTGCCTGCCCGGCACCCTCTTGCCTTGGCTCAGAGCGGAGCAGGCGGCTCCCTCTGCCCCAGCAGCCTCCCAGTCCGAGCGCGCGAGAAGCTCCCAGTCCCCGTGGCAGCCGAAGCCTTCTCCGAGAAGCAGTGCAGGTTGCAGGCACGTGTGTAATAGAAACATGTCTCAAGCGTTGGCAGTTCGGAAAGAAAACAAAAGGGAAAGGCTCGTCCCCTGCCCAGGCTCCCCCTGCGGGGTGGGCTCGGGGCGCCGCCGCTTCATGCCTTTGGTGGTGCTTTTTGTTCCGCCTTGGAGCCGGCCAGGCCGTTCTCGGTGTTGTCGTTCCCTGACGAGCTCACCAGGCATTCCTTCCTGTGGGAAGAGCGCACCGTGGGCCAGCTGACAGCCCCTCCTGACCCCTCTCCCCACAGCCCCGGCTCGTGGCAGCGCCCCCCACACTCACTTCCCGTCCTGGGTCTTCTTGATGATGAACAGCACGACCCTCTTGATGAGCATGAAGAGGATGAGGAGGCCGATGAGCCCCCCCACAACGCCCACGATGATGAGCGTCACGGTGTTGTCTGTCTCCACCACTGCGGGAGAGAAGGTGCTGAGGGGGCTCGGGAGGGGAGCGGGGAGCTCCCGGCTGCACATCCCACCCCAGAAAGGCAGCTACCCCTCCCACGGCAGCACAGAGGGGCACGAGCCCTGCCCGTCAGGGATGCCAGCCACCTCCAGGACACCCCACAAGGGTGAGCCAAGGGGGAGGTCGGCACGGGTTGGCATCTCCACCACCCCAGTGCCGCTCAGGGCAGCCCTGGCCAGCACTCACTCTTGTGCACCACGGTGAGGGTGATGGTGGCATTGTGCTGCGCGTTCCTCTCCAGGGGGTTCTTGACGTGGCAGGTGTACTTCCCGGCGTCGCTGAACTCCACGCTGCTCAGGACGATGGAGATGTTGTTCTCCTTGCTGGTGGTCGAGCCCACGAATTCGACCCGCGGGTTGCGCGACACCAGGGTGGGCTCCGTGGCCTTGTTCTTTATCTTGCCCTGGTAGATCTGCAGGGGTGCAGGGTGTGGGGTCAGCTGGGCTCCCAGCATTCCCACGTGAGTTCTCCTGAGGGTGCCCTGCCCCAGCTCTGCACGCACAGACAGGCACAGTCCCAGCACACCCCATTAAAGCAGGAGGGGGACCTGCTGCACATCTTACCAGGAAACAGCAGATTAATCTGACCTGCTCTGTGGTGATGGTACAGACCAACTAAAACATGGGGGAAACCCTGGCAGAGATGGCCCCTTTGCTGGCCAGAGCTGCTCCAAACTAGCCCTCCTGCTAGGGAGTTGAGGAGCTGAATACTCCCAGCAGGAAGCAAATCTATACAGAAGCTTTAGTATTAGAGAGCAAGTGAAGGAGGAGAAAATTAACTACACTTTGCCCAAACTGCAAACCTGCACCTGAACAGCTAATTTATGAAAATAAATGAGCCTGTGGGCAGCAGCAAATCTGAAACAGCTTTCTGCCAAAAGCACAGATATGCTGGGGGATTTGAGTCACCCTGTTTGCACAGCCTTGTCCCCCCTAGAGCTGGTGACATTCGGAGAGATGGGCATCCTGCACGAGGAGAAAGGGAGCTGTGAGAACTGCAGTGCTGGTCTGAACCGGGGAAGCACAAAAGGACCTGCCAGAAAAGCAGAGGCAAAGCCAGGACAGCCACCCACCAGCTCTGTCGAGTTGAAATACCACGTGAAGACCAGGTCCTGGAAGCCTATGCAGGTGCTGAAGATGCAGGGCAGCAGGACATCGGTGTTATTCAGAGCCGTCACAGTGTTGGTCTTCCCCACCGACACCTCCAAGGCGAAGACGATGGCCAAGACGTGCAAACCTGGCAGGGAGAGGGGAGGAGAGAGTGAGGGCACGGGCTTGTCCCCTCGGGCAGGGCAGGGCAGGAGCAAAGGTGCCTGTCCCCAGCCCTCGTGTGGCTCGGGGAGAGAGGGGACCTGCTCCTGGAGGACCTGGGGCTGGCTGGCACCCACAGGGGCAGCGCGGGCTCGAAGGGAACCACAATACCACGGCGAGTGAAGCGCACAAATGAAAGCCCTGATTTGCATGTTATCCACAGGCTTTCAGCTAAACCTTAAAGGGGGAGAAAAAAAAAAGCCAAAGCAAAGCAGAGCTCTGTTCTTCAGGCAGGAGCTGGAGCAGTAATTAGCGCTGCTGTCCTGGCCGCCTGCCACCCGCCGTCCCTCCCGCAGCCAGTGCAGCTCGGCACAGCTCTGGGTGACCCTCTGGAGCAGCACCCTCACTCCCAGGAGCCGGGAGCCTCGGCTCCCTCCGGAGCTGGCAGATGACCTTCAAACTGCAGAATGCAGCTCTCCTGCTCCTCGCCTCCCCGAGAGCAGAGAGAGGCACCAAGGAGCAGGTACGAGCCCGGCTGCAGCTCCAAGCTCGCAGGGTGGCACACGGGGACTGGCACCGCACCCCTGTGCATCGGGCAGTGTCCACACAGATCCTCCCAGGGGACACAGGGATGCTTTGTTCCTGGCCAGAGGAACAGCCCTGCTCCCCATCCCCAGCACAACACGGCCCCATCCCGTTCGTATGATGTGGCACGGCTAAGACGTGACACAGCCCAGCGAGGCACCGTCCTCCCCTTGCCCAGACCTCAGCCACCCCTGCAGAGCTTTCCCTGGGCACTCTGACACCAAAGCCAGGGGGGACACAGCCCTTCCCACAGCTACGAGCCCATCCCTGGCTCCTCCAACACCTTAACTCGGACACACCGCCCTCAGTCTCAGATTCACATCTCTCTGCAGCCGCCCCGGCTGCTGATTTATTCTCCCACACATGCTGGTGCTAACAGCTCCCCAGGCACGTCGCAGCCGGAGCCAAGCCCGAGAGCCCTGCATCCTGGGCTCCGGGCCCTGCTGCAGTGCTGCATTGCAAGCACTGCAGGGAAGGAGTTATTTAACTTTACACACAAGCACTCCTCGTCGTGCTCCAGAGGCAGTGGCAAACGTCAGGGAGTGGCTCCCCACCAGATGGAATCTCCTGCAGCTGCCAGGCTCAAAGGCCAGCCCTGGAGGATGCTACAGAGGGGACTGCACAGGCAGGAGTGCCCCAGGCGAATCGTGCTGCTACCTGGAGTAGGAGTTGGCAGAGGGATGCCTGGCTCTGCAGGTACGTCTGAGCTGGCAGGGTGCTGCAAGCGGACACTTACTTCCAGGAAAGATGATTCCTTGCAGCTTGTAACACTTCTAATCCTGTCTGCCACTGTTAGAATGTCATGAACATAATCTGAATTGAATGTGTGGGGTAAATCGAGGCTGACCTTGTTCCTGTCACGCTGTGGTCTCAGGAAGACAAAATTGATATGTTACCACTAAATAAAGCACAAAGGAAAACACGTTGGGAGATCACTGACTGAACCTGCCACACACCAGCTGTCAGCATTACTTTTCCATATGCCCAAAGCTGCTGCACTTTGCACCACCAGAGCCCCAGCCTTCAGAGCACAGGGCCACACCTCCCACCCTCGGGGGCTCCAGGTTCCTCCATGCCTGCAGGCACCAGCATTCCCTAAGAGAGAGCCAAAGGGAAGAGGGAGCAGCCACCCCTGCCTTGAGCCAGAGCCTTGGCCACCTGCTCTTTGCTCTTGTAGGGGCTGGGGCCTGGCGAGGGGTCCCAGAGCCACTGAGCAATGTGCTCACCCAGGGCCACCATCTGCGGGAAAGCTGCTCTGCAAAAACTTTCACTGCCCAGAACAGCCAGCGTGACCTCCTGGCACAGGCACAAGCCGTGCCTGGCAGGCTGGCCGGGTTCCTCTCCAGAGGGGTTCAAGGAAGGAGCTCCCAGGCCAGCTGGAGCCCAGGTATGACGTGCTGTGGGACAGGACACGTGGCCCTCACCCTTCCCGTGGGGCTGGGATCAATGGAAGGGGCCATGCCAGGGCTCTCTGGCACAGCCAGGAGCTCGATGCCACTCCCTGAGGAGCACAACATTCCTGAAACGCACACACACACAGAGACCTGCCCAGCTCTCCCCTTCCCACCTCCCTCATCAACCCCCAGCCCACCTGAGTGACCTGTGGGATGAGGTTCACACCTCCACATCCGGAATCCCAGATCCCTAAGTGGTCTCCAGCATCTCCAAGTTTCTCCTACCAGGCAGTGCCAGCCCCATGCCCAAAGCAGCTTGCACTGCCCCTGTCTGAGGAGGCACCAGGCGCTGGCACCCAAATCCTGCAGGGAGTCAGGTACTTACATGCCTCTTTTTTTGCGTCTCCAGCTCCCTTAAACTCAAGAACTATGCCCTCTTACACGCCTCCCAAGGGAGTTTCCCAGTAGCAAGCGCTGCACATCCAGCCCTCGTTCCCAGGCTGGCACGGGGACGACCCGCGGGAGCAGGAGTGCAGCGGGTGCGTGAGGCTGATGCGGGGGGCTGGAGCCAGCCCCAGGTGTGCAGCGGGGAGGGAAGGCTGCGAGCACCTCCCTGCACCCTGTGGCGGGGGAATCTCGGGCATCCCCGGGCACAGGGCTGGGCATCATGCTCCGAAGCAGCGGCCCCTGCGGCGCGGGGTCCGGCCCCGCGCCGGGGGGCCAAGCGCATGCGAATGGTCGTTGTACAAAATGAACTGTTGAGACAATGACCTGTCGGCGGGCGTGCTGGCGCTGAAGCAGTGCATGGCCTCCCCGGGCCATCCCCCGGTCACGGGCAGCGCAGGAGCGGGGCAAAGCGGGGTTGCAGCCGCAGTGCTCGCAGGAGAAGCGCCGGCCACGGGAGCGCTGGTGCGGGCAGGGCAGGGGCCGGAGCCGGGACTTCGGAGCTCGGGCTCGGCTGCGAAGTCACCTTGGCCAAGTGACTTATCCCCCGGACCGTCCGTCTGCAGAGCGGAGAGCGGC